GCGGCTTCGGTTTCAAGGCCTTACAACCAACAGCAACCCAGAAGAATTATATCAGACACAGATATGAGCCGCTTCACTTCCACAACACCGACCGACCAATGGGACGACGCTGAACGTCTGAGCCCCGTTCAGAGGCTCGGAGTTTTCAGTTCATGTCCAGTTCCTTCAGTCACCACGAGAATCCAAGTCAAAAGAGTTTTCAGTTCATGTCCAGTTCATTCAGTCACCACGAGAATCCAAGTCAAAGACAAACGACACCAAATATTAGTCCAAACTTCAGTGATTATTATAAACATGGCTAAAACTTAGCCAAATTACAGTAAACGTTGCCAAAAAGTTGCTCATAAAAAGCCTTAAGTTAAAGGTAAAATTAGTCAAATTTCAGCCTCGAGTTAGACACCAACACATATGTACTTTTAAAAAAGGGTAATTAATTGAAAACTATTATCAAAATATGAAATTTAACCCACATAACAACATAGCCCAAATAGCTCGAAGCCACAAAAAACGTAGCCAAACATTAGCAAAAATCAGATAATGTACATATAAATAAAAGCTAAAAGAAAAAAATAATTATAGGATTGTAAGATATTAAATATACAAAGATTTAAATGAAACTGAAAAGTTTGCATACCGCCTTGCATAAAAATTGAGGTCGACTTATTTATATCTAAAAACAGAGTCGTGTGAGAAACCAGATGATTGACTTTTACGGCTGCGACTGTAATTGAAGATAACGACCTCGTGAATGGACTGAGGAATGTCAGCGAGGTGGAGTTACACCTGCAACCCAATAATGGAAGTGCACTTTAGCCTCGCCGCTGGTGCCTGTAATTCATACAATTATGGAGAGAGTCAACAGGACAGAGGTGTAATTTCAACTGTCTCCACAGGGGACACCGTGTCTTCCTGATCTGGAATCTGGTCAACCGTTAAATTCAAGGGGGGGGGAGCGGGGGGGCTGTGTGAACTACAGATGCCCTCGAGACATTGGCATAGTCATTCCGACATTCCCAGCACTCCTCACGAGAAGCTCTGGACCAATCAGAAGACAGAGCTCACGTGCTCAGAGGGAGGTGAGTGTCTGAAAGAGATCAATAAATGAGGTCATGGGAATCGTACTGCAGCACAGTCGGGATTCAAGGGTTGTCTATTACAAACACTAGGGCTCACGCTGGTCCTACCAAACCCTTGAAAGTCCTTGAATTCCAGAGTTTTCAAGTCTTTGAACTCTGTTTGACATTTGACTTTTAACTTTTCATTTTGAAAAATACAACATGGCAGAATGTAACTTTAATTTGCCAACAGCCAAATTAGCTCAAGCAAACTCCATTACATTGATCATAGGTGGCCTACAATTGTTAAAAACTTATATATAAATATATATATAATATTTATTAGAATAGAATTATAAAGATGATAGCCAGTTTTATGTTTGCTAAGTATTGCTAATGGCTAGCCTAGAAAAAAGTGGATAGTTAGCCAATCATACAAACCATCATTTAAATCTTTCAAAAGAAGCAAAAAAAGGAGTAGAATCAAAAATATTACATTTTCTACAAACAAAAACAAACAATAAGTCACGATGCTAATTCCAACGTAGCCACCAGTTAGCCAAGAAAATAATCTTGATAAATGTTTGGTTGTGAAGGTGAGTGAACTGATGTTCCTGGTGTTCAAACAGAGGAGCGCCTTGGTTGTGAAGGTGAGTGAAGTGTTCCTGGTGTTCAAACAGAGGAGCGCAGCCAAGTTGTTCTGCCTCACAGACACCGAGCCATTGTGTTCTGAGGTCTGTGGTTTTCACCGCCGTTAAAACCATCAGCGTCTGTTGACTCATCGTGTCATTACCAGAGGAAGATTCTCCACCGATAAAAGGTTTCTTCCCAACTAAACACTCCTTCTACGAAAAACAATCTTTTCTGACTCCGGCCAACTCCGACAGAGTCCTGGAGGCCAAGTCTCGTCAAGTCGGGGCAGAAACCGGGAATCGGAAAGAAAAAAAACTCTGAGCTGCATCCAGTACAGAGACGATTAGAGCCGCACGCCACAATAGCCCACAATGCCTCAGTGGGTTTGAGTAAACACCTCGAAACATGACAAGTGATTACAGGAAGACACAGAGACAAAGACGAGTCACCGAGGCTTAGAAAAGTGTGGCCTTGATATAAAATTATGGGTTTGGGACGAAGAGTTTGTTTTTCTTTTCATGAGATCATCCGAGTCAATGGCTCTTCAGTTTGTTTTTATACTGGAAAGAAAAAAAAAAGAAAAGGTTTAGTCCGAGTCCACCGAGGAGACTCGTAAATAAAGAGTCCAAATTGACCGAAATAAAGTCTGACTTTAGAGTTTGTCTGAACTCAAGTCCACTGAGGAGACTTGGAGGAAACAAAGAGTCCAAGTGGTTTAGTCCAAGTCTAATTCAAGTCCAGTCCTAGTCTGATGCACTGAAGGAAATGTTTAGTCAGAGCCGACGCAAGTCATTGGAGACGCCTCAGTGAAGTCAAGTCCGAATAGAGTTGCACCCAAGTCCATCAAGTCAAGGTCCAAGTCATTGAATCGAGGGTGGACTCTGGTCTGATAACAAGGGTGTTTAGATTGTTCCATCAAACTTCTGCACAACCTAAAACTGTCCAGTCCATGTCTCTATCTTCTAGTCCAAGTGCTTCGGTCGAGTCCCAGTCCTGTAAGTTTTTTTTTTTAATTCTACACTGCAAAAATATGCGTAAAGGTCAGGATAGCAAAACTAAGCTAAGCTAACGATGCTGCAGACTTACAACTTCAATTTGGAGAAGAACCTCCGAGTCTTCATGAGCTTCACTACGACCTTCATAATCTGCACGGATCTTCAAAACATCTGCACTTCTAATGAAATACCTGAGGGAGCAGCGATCAGACGGATCTGTTGGAGCAACGTCTGCTTCCTTCACACACACACACACACACACTTGCTTCCTTCACACACTCACACACACAGATTCTCTATTAATGACATTGCGTGCCGGCAGCTTTCCTCTCCCCGCTCTCACGCAGATGACATCACAGGTTTCGACCATATTCCCAGTGTTACAGCGCGGCTCATGCTAACTGACAGCCACTGACATTAGCCAGCATTCCTCACATGCCGTCTGCTTTAGGAGAAGATGTTCCGAACATTTCTGAGTGAAGTTTGAGGAGCGTGACGCGTGAAAACATTTCTGTCACCAAGAGGGGGCGTGACAGAAAATAATTAAGAACTAATGTCTTAAAGTGAGGTCTGTAGTTAGACGCCCGCGTTTTCAAAATCACCTTTAAGTGGCCTAATAACAAGTGGGTCGTACCGTAAAACAGGTCAATGTCACTAAGTTGGTCATGGGTTCGAATTAGACGTTCACAGACGTGGGAAATCTACTGATATATTATAACTCTTTTCGATTGGTACCAACCAGGCCACGTTGAAGGTTTGTTACATTTTTCAAAATAAAACTTTGTTCAATTGGTACCAACCACGCCACGTTGTTTGTTACATTTTCCAAAATAAAACTAAAAGATTAGACTTCATTCTGTCAGTATCAGAGTCTGAAAGATTTATTATTTTTGAAAAATTGTCAAATTAAATTTAAATTAAAAAAAAGCTAAATGGAAAGGACCGGATTCTCTTTAAATGATAAATTCTTTCTCGGTGGCCCATGGACCTGTACCGGTCCGGGGGCCATGGTTTGAGGACCCCTGCACACCTCAGATAAGAGCGGTCCACGGTCCACGGTGTTGGTGAGCGTGTGCCCTCGGCGGTGCAGGGGTGTGCGTCCGATCATGACATGAGCTCATCAAGGTTGGAAAACTACGCCCTGCTTCATGTGCACGCATCCGGACCGGAATCTGATACGCCTCCTCCAAAAAGGCGTAAAAAATTTCCTCGGGATGTGTCAGGATAAGGGATGAGCCGTGAGGTGGCGAGGAAAAAAAAGTCCAGTCACGAACACCCTCATGGTCGCCCTCCACGATGACGAACATCAAGGAATGTCGATGACGTAATCCACAAACGTTTAGAGGTTTCAGAAAACGGTTCCGCCGGTGTACAACTGGTCCGACTGAAACTCTCTGACACACTAACCGTCAGCGCGGCGTGTTTACAGACACCCAGCCTGCAGAGATACACGCCGACCTCTGCCCCTGCGGAGGCGAGAAGGTATCAGCTTCCTGAGCCATGATGTCATGGACTTCAGGTCTACTATCTGTGATCGGACCCAGGAGCCACTGCATCAGGGCATGAGGGCTGGAAACATCCCTGCTCTGCTCTCAGGGCCGCTAACCACAGGCGTGCACGTGATGCTAACACGGTGAGATGCTAAAAAAAACAATCGAACCGTCATGAAGCCGTGATGTTTCCTCACGAGGTGTGAGGTGTGGAGGAGAGGATTAGATTAGATGTCAAAACAGAGAAGGTCAGAGAGCAGCTCCAGATCCAAGAGAAACAAACAACGACAAAAAGAGATGATGATGAAATCATTTCAATCATCATGTTTCTGCGCTAAATTAAAATAACGACTGACTAACAGACAGACTGACTGACTGACTGACTGACTGACTGACTGACCCAGGTATGTTCAACTTGACGTCCTGTATCACAGGACTTCTCTGATCCCTGGCAACAGGCCTGGTTTCTGGCCTTATGTTGGACCACAAATCTGTCTGATCTAAATTAGTACCAAACTCTCTGACCCGTCCTGGTAACGCTGCACCCTCAAACCACTGAACCACAGGCGACCCACAAATCCACCACAATCCTTTGTCATCGTGTCCACTTCTAAGATCTGACTACAAGAGTTCCTCAGGAGAGTAGAACCGTTCTCCAAGATTACTATGAGACCAGAGGATGAGAAGAACCTGAACAGGAACCTTTGGGCCAGAAACGTTTGTCTGTCCTTGTTCTTAGTCTCACAGTGGACCAGGGATTCTCTTGGTCTTGGTCTGGACCAGAAGGAGTGGAACTGAACTGAACTGAGTCTGTCTGGACCACATACCTTATGATAGACTCCATACTCCATCCCAAGGATGATTGACACGCTGCCAGATGAAGATGGCTGACTGATGACTTCACTGCTACCGTGCAACTAAAAAAAGAACGGAGAACGAAGGTTTAACTCATGGTTTGACAGTAACTCTGAGGACCTGCAGCGCTGACACGTACCAGTACTTCAATTATCATGTAAATGTGCACCTTCCTGTTACGGTATTTGAAATTACACAGTGGAGACGCCAGTAGCAATTTGATGCTGGCATCGACTTGTCAGATCGTCTCACTCGTCCCTCTGTGCTGCGTCAGCCGAGCGTTACCTGTTTACGCTAACCATCAAAGCACCAGCGCCACTGTTTTCCAGTGGCCATGGCAACGCTGGAGACTGATTGGGCCGCATGGAACAGGAAGTGCTGCGAGGACAACAGGATGTGCCCTGGCTCCGCCGCCGAGGGTCGAAGAATTCCAGGAAGTTATTGTACTTTGTGGAATGGTTTCTGGAATGCAAGATGTCTGACTTTTTTTTCTCTTTTTTGTTTTTTATTTCTCTGCAGCTCTGAGTCATATCACACGCTGGAGGCGACGAGCTTTGAAGATAATCAAATTCCTGTGGACGCGTGAGTGGCACATGGAATGTTTTTGGTCGCTCACCTCCGAATTCTCCTGCATCAGTCACCGTCGGCAAATGATCGGAAAAAAAAACAAAAAACATCCTAACAGCTTCTCTGATCAGCAGCTAGCCACAGAAACCGATGTCAGATGGACACAGAGTTCCAGGTACAATAAACAATAACGTAAAAGCAGGAACTTTGCCACTTGAACCCCAGCTGTTCCCCTGAACCCTACCTTTAAGATACCACGGCTAAGTGATGGGTTCTTTGTACATAATGTTCTAAAGGTGGAACGTTGAGTACGTCCTCTTTATGATGAATGCGGTGAAAGTACAGAAGCTGCAAAGTTTCCACAAAAACAAATTCAGGAAGCAGAAGAAAACACCAGGGGAATAAATGAATGTTAGCACAAAAAAACAAAACAAAAAGCTGACGATTCAGCTAAAAACACGCTGACTAATATAAATCGTGAACAACTCCAAATATGGCCAAAACCAATTCAGATCATTCAGAAATCACCACCCAATAATATAGCTAAACGACAGCAAGTTAAACAAATGAGAGCCGGGGAACGATGCAACTAAAAAGCTAAAGAGGTTAGCCGCAATGTTGCCAAAAGAAAATAAAACCCAAAAAGTATTATTAGAAGAATTAGCCAAAAACATTGAATAAACAGCTATGGAATAAATGCATCTAGAAAGCTCGGCGTTAGCTAACAACATAGCAACAAGAAATGCAACAAAAACAGAGATAGTCGACAGTTAATTACAGTTAACTAAAAAGAAAATCCAAAAAGTAATTGCTAGGTCAGAATTGCTAACATATACAGCAGCAGAGGCTAAATGTTAGCCCAGGGGGAGAGGGAGTATCTGGGTCTGAACTGTTGTATATTAATGAAGTACTATTGAAGTACTTGATTTATTTATACTCTGTTTTCAGTCTCTCCTTCTTCAGAGGCCAGTGTTTGTGTTCATCCTGATGTTAATTGGTCATTTAACCTCCTGATGGCGCTCTTTAATCCCTGACTCTGTGCAGCCCGCGGCTTCATTCACACTTTTCCTGCAGACAGATCATGTATCCGGTGTTTTTGATCTGATTGTTCCGCTCTCTCCCTCTTCCCCTCTGGATGTTTCCACCGTCTGACAGCAGCTGCCCCTGACGCGTGGACGGACTTGTCGTCCCGCGGGTCAAAGGGCAGCGAGGTCATGGGTTAACACCACAGGCTGCGCTCTAACAACAAACAAGTTGTCGGCGAAATCCTAAAAGCAGCTCAGAGGCTTCACTCTCCGCCCGAATAAATCCCATCAGCCCCTGCAAACACAGACACATGCGGTGGGTTTTCACCCCCGACTGAAGAAGAGCCCGTGGTTCTGGTCTCCTTCGGACCCCAGGTTGGTGAAGGGTGTGTGGCGGACTGAGCCGCATGAAAGACAAAATCAGGCAGTGAAGCGAAACAGGGCGAGTTAATGGGGGAGAGAGGGGTGAGGACGCTGATCCCAGGACAGATCAAATGTTTGCCCGGTGCTGAAAGCTACTTTCTGTCAGCCGGTCCAGCCCGGAGGTGGAGAGACCAGAACGCTGCCCCCCCCACCCAGTGATGATGTATCTGTCTAAAGACGGGTTAACAGGTTTGACCCCGGAACCTCACTGCAGAAGCGAGGAAGTTAGAGGATTAATAAGATGAGAGGAGACGAGGGGAGAGGAGAGGAGAGGAGGAGGAGAGGAGATGAAGAATGAATGAAGTAGATAGACAGAATCAGGCGGGTGATGATAGGGATGAGACCCTGCCCATAAGAACCCCCCCCCCCAATCATCACTCTGACACCCAGTCAATTTGCCTGAGGACATGACAGGACACCAAGGGGCCATAATGACATCTTTGAGTCGCCCTAAAGGTCCTCGCACCACATTTTAGTTCCACTGACTTAAGAATTAACATACCAGTCATGGTGGTCAACCATTGTCCAGAGGGTGAGGGGGTGAGGGTGAGGGTGAGGGGGTGTAATGGCCGTCTTCATACTCAATCATTTAGTCTTACAGTGTTGTATCAGTGCCGTGAACACACCACCTCTAGGAGGAGCTGTGGCGAAGCTAAAGATAATGACTTCACATCTGCGATGAAGTCAGACTCAGGGACATGCACGTGGATCTGCCGCCCTCTACTGGTAGGTTCCATCGCTAACATCCTCAGGGCAGGTACAACGTGCCAGGACTTAATTTACTGAAACTATTTTAACGACGCATCAATAATGTGGGAAATGTTTTTACAAGTTATGAATGTTATTATCTTTTCTGTTTTTTATTTCACTTTTTCACTTTCACATTTAGCCTTGTCGTTCTTTAATTAAGTTTTTACCATTTTTTAAATACTGTTGCACTTCTTTTTTGCTCGAGCTTAAAACTTGTTCTCAGCCTATATCAAGTGAGGGCCGCTAGAGGGCGGTCGCACCCTATGTCTGAGTCTTTCTATTAAATGGTCATAAACAGCAGAGAACGATGATGTCATTAATTTAAAAAAAATCTAAAATAAATTATTTAATAATTGTGTAATCACTTTAATATTTTTAACAAAATCGACATATTTTTAAATTTTCATCATTTTTTTAAATTTTAGAGAATTTTTAAACACTGATTAAGCAGATACGTGACCAAATGTTATATTTTCCAAATATTTTTTTCCCGATAGAGAGACGGATTTTTTTTAAACAAATCTTGTTTTATTTATTTTTTATTTTTAGAACGTTCATCATCGACTGATGACGTTCATTTTAAGCCCAAACACAGACAGAAACGTCACCTAATCCCACTGTAGCGTGTGGTCGCCTGCTGCTCCGGCTGCAGGATTAGAGAGAGTGAGCGACAGACACGTGTCAGCAGGTGGCGCTGTCTGACAGCCTGGCGCCCTTTGGCTGTATTATATCAACAAACCGGTTCTTAAACTGGGGCAAAACCGCAACAAATAAATAAAACACTCAAAGGAAATGTTTTAGAGTCGCAGGGTTGTGGGTTCTACTCCAGACATTTTAGGTTAAATACTATGTACTATACATTTGAACTAAAAGTCTGTCAGAGAGTTTAGACCCAGACAGAACCTCCTGCCGTGTCCTGGTCCTGGTGTGTGTGTGTGTGTGTGTCTGTGGTTAAAAAGTCTTAAATGAAGGACTGAGTTCATCTGTGGGATGAAAACACACAGTGATGTGATGGTGTTTTGACAGTTTGTCAGAGAAGCAGCCAAACAAGCTTTTAGCTTCTCTTTAGCCGAGGCTGCAGAGAGATTTATGACCAATCAGCTAAATGGGTTGAACAGTGTGATCGTGATCATAATGAAGAGCTGCTGCTGTTGTTATGTCATGTCAGAACACCAGAGTCCAGGACTCAGGGTCTGCTCCGAGTCCAGGTCGGACTCCAGAACCAGACCGGACCAGACACAGTCACAAAAGTCTGTCAACTCTTCTGGAGACTTAGACCAGACTCAAACACCAAAGACTTAGTTCAGACTCAGTCTTTGAGTGAATTACAGGCAAATACTGAGAACTTGACCACAGAACCAGACAGAACCAGACAGAACCAGACCAGAACCAGGCAGAACCAGACCAGACTAGACAGAACCAGACCAGACTACTTCAGATTACATTTTGCTAGTTAAAACCAGACTGGATTACTTTTGTTTAAATCAAATCAAATGATCATGTTTCCATCACAGTTGTGTTTGAAATTTGATCCTTACTCCAACTGAATTTGAATTTTCAGTCTTGAAAACGCTGATTAAAGCTGAAAGACTTGTTTTTGTGATTTTAAAAAAAATCTAAATCTAATTAATGTCATTTTTTCACCAGCCTTTTTAACAGAGATAAAAAAAATCTAAATCTAAATAAATCTAAATAATAATGTCATTTTTTTCACCAGCCATAGTTGACTGGAAGAATAAAAGGCTGAAGAACAGAAGTCTCAGAGCTGTGAGAGTCTGGGGGTAGAGGGGGAGGAGGGGGTGAGGATGAGAGGAGGCGCTCTGTGTCTAACATCAGGGAGGGAGGGAGGGGCGGTGGAGGAGGGGTGGAGGAGAGAGGTCGATCAGAGAGAGACCGTGTGCCGGGGCTGATCCTCAGTCAGTGGGAGACAGAAGCTCCAGCTGAGCGGAGGTGACGCCGCCGCGTGACGAGACTTTTACGCACGGATCCGACATGGACACGGAGAAGAGTGAAGGGACAGAGACGCTGTGACCAGAAACACGCGTGTCCTCCTCACCTCGGACATGGAGATGAGAATAAAACCTCCATCAGACACAGCAGCCTCGTCGTCGTCGTCATCATCATCAGCGCAGATCTGACCTGGATCTGAGGATGACACCTGCAGCATCGCGCCTTCTGGCGAGGACCGGTGCGCTGTTCCACATCCAGAATCACATTTGGCATCTCTGAGGACAGACCGAGTCAAAACAACGTCTGTGGCTGCGAACCAGTGACCGCACCGCGCTCTTCTGCGGAGTCAAAGACGGGAAACATCTGGAGCGAACACCAAGTAAGTTCCACAGCAGAGAGGAGGAGGTTCTACTGCTGATCTGACACTTCCTAAATCAAACTTAAATCACTGCAAACACACCGTGAAGGTCTGTAGAAAATGTAACCTACAAGAATAATGAGCAATGTTTAAATATACAAATCTGATTTGGAAAAAACTGCCCAACAACATGAGCTAAAATTAAAATTAAATTAAAGAAACAGGACAGGCTGAAGTGAGTGAAAAAGAGAGAGAGAAAAAAACTCCCAGTTTCTGCAGTGACAGATGTGGATTTTACAGCATTTACTTCAGTTTAAATCCAGTATCGGAGGTAAATGTTGGCTTTAAAAATATCTGACAGTAAATCTCCATAAATCTGAGAGTCCACGCTTTTTTAAGACACAGATTTATGACTGTCCAAACAGCCGTGTGCCAACGGCTCCGTCTGCCACTGCATTTGGGAAGATTAATCAGTGGACGGCACTTCTGGTTAATTAGTGGGATAATAACGAGAGTCGACCTACAAACAACTAAAGGGTTGATGAAGAAAAAATAAAATAAAATGCAGGAATAGACAGGAAACAGGAAAGATTAAAGGTAAAAACATAACAGTTAAAAAAATGTAAAATAAATATTGAGTGAAAAACATAGGAGCTAACATTTAGCCAAAGGGCTACGAAAAACAAAAACAAAACTGCTAAGAACCAAACACAAATGTAAGTGCATTATTAACAAAAAAAGTAAAGAAATGTCTGTTTTCTGTCCCAGGTCGTCCCTCCTCCTCTCACAGTGACATGTCTGTCCATGTCCCGTCTCCTGGACTCTGAGATATAAACCTTTCCTTCTCTATCGCCCCAGAACTTCACCCCCCGACACCAGAGTTTTGACCCACCATGGGAACCGTACTGTCCATCTCACCCAGCTCCCGTAAACCGGGCTACTACGAAAACCACGCCGGTTCCCTCAGCCACTACCCGAGCATCAGCAGCCGCTCGCTCAACAGCCAGAGGGAGCGCGGACTGAAGAGGGGCCAGTCCATCTTCCTGCCGGCACTCACGTGGAAGAGACTGGTGGCCTCCACGAAGAAGAAGGGCAACAACAACAAGAAGGGTTCCTCGGGAGTGCCGTCCAACCTCGGGGAACCCCTGAACAACAACAACAACATCAGCATCTACCAGAAGGACTCGGTGCTGCACCTCAACCGAGAGAATGTGAAGAAGTCGCTGTCCTGCGCCAACCTGTCCAGCTACGAGGGTCCGGCGGGTCTGGGCCTGGGCCTGGGGCTTGGATATGGACTGGGGATGGGTCAGGGCCACGGATACGCCTACGGCAAACCTCAGCAGGTGTCCTCTGTGACGAAAGTCCCGCCAAATGTTGCGACCTCGTCCCCTAAGCGAGTGATCGTGCAGGCGTCCACCAGCGAGCTGCTGCGCTGCCTGGGCGAGTTCCTGTGTTGCCGCTGCTACCGACTGAAGCACCTGTCCCCCGCCGACCCCGTCCTCTGGCTGCGGGCTGTGGACCGATCGCTGCTGCTCCAAGGATGGCAGGACCAGGCCTTCGTCACGCCGGCCAACGTCGTCTTCGTCTACATGCTGTGCCGAGACGTGGTGGACGGCGACCTGGTGGCGTCGGAGCACGAGCTGCAGGCCATCCTGCTCACCTGCCTCTACCTGTCCTACTCCTACATGGGCAACGAGATCTCGTACCCCCTGAAGCCCTTCCTGGTGGAGGCGGGTAAGGAGGCCTTCTGGGACCGCTGCCTGGCCATCATCGACGCCACCAGCTCCAAGATGCTGCGGATCAACGCAGACCCGCACTTTTTCACACAGGTGTTCGCCGAACTGAAGAGCGAAGGCAGCTGTGTTCCTCAGGATTACAGTCGCATGTTGGATCGGTGAGGAGCGCCCTCCACTGGTTACATGCCTGCTGCATCTCATGCACACAATTACTTGCACATTCAGATCAATTCC